AAAACAACAATTAAATACAAAGTTAATTTAATTACATTTATGATGTGGGTTCAGATTTTATTTAGAACTATTTTTATATGCGGATGTACTTCTTAGCTTGGCCTCAAGTTTCCTTTTGCGATGCATAATCTGACCGGTTTACCGTTGCCGATGTAGGGATACACATCACGTGACCAACAATAGCGTCACTTCAGCAAATTTTTCTCGAGGCCAAAGGTAAGATGCACATTTCAGCTTTTGTTCCCACCACCATCCCCTAACTCCGCCAATTTTTGTTAGGAGGTATATTTTGTGTAAAAGGCGGTTGGTGGCGGCGGTTTTGCCCCCCTCCTTTAATAGTCACATAATTGTTTTCATTAGGCATAATGCCTATATGTATTCAGATCAGTATGATGTGGCATGTTTTACATGTTGTGTATACATGTTTTTATTTTACGTTGTTTTTGGAAGAAACGACGTGACATGTTTTGTATACATGATTTTATTTTACGTCGTTTTTATAATAAACGGCCTATTTCAATTCATGCTGTGGTATTACTGGTTTTTATTTGACTATATTGAACTTTTAATAAAAGCTTGCTGTGAAGGTCATTTATGAAAAAAACTCAAGTGACCTATTAAAGTGTTTTTTTTCGTCAATCGATGTACAAATGTACGTATTGCACGTGCCGTGCAACGTCCATACATATTTCTCCACAACTTCTACTCAAAATATTAGTCTGAAGATTAAGATATGAATCAATCCCATTGAAGTTTAATCGAAGATAACCTGGACCAAGAGAAATTCCAATATTGCAAATTATTGCTGTTACTCTGCATGTGCACGGAGAGAGGTTCTGAAGGGTTTAATTAGACAAATACAGTTTGTTTGCGAAATCTCTTTAAACAATAACCAATAAAAAGGAATCCGTTCAAATACATATATGTATATCTTCGTTCATGAACCTAAGAAAATGTGCGTTCAAGTTTCCGGCTATTGTTACTGTAGTGACTGTGCAACATGTTTTACAAGTATGTGACGTCATTCCATGCTGAGTGTACAGCGTGAAACACATATACACATGTATATTGTCAGCTAAGAGTGATGAAGCTTGTTACGTATAGGTTGTCAGAGAGATCTACTTGCACAACTGTTACATTTTAATGTTATCTGCAGTTGTGGTATTTGTCTTTCATGCTGCCCTGCTGATCCCTGTCTTCCAATCAAATTTTGATAAGATACTGCATTCATGATCCCCTGACATAGCTGTAGAACATTTCATCGTACGTGGGAATGAAGGTTCAGATCTTTTTAATGCATATGGCTGCCTCTTAGTTTTCTCGTTATCGATCAATTTAGGTTTACCCAAGAAACAAATTCCAAGCGCTTGTCTTAGAATACGATTATGCTGTCAAAATTGTTATAGGCATTTTATATATAGAATGTTGGTGTCTATACATATAACTTCTTGAGAAATCCTCTTTACTATATATAGAATGTTGGTGTCTATATATAGAACATCTTAGGAATTACACTCAACTATATATAGAATGTTGGTGTCTATACATATAACTTCTTGGTGTCTATATATAGAACATCTTAGGAATTACACTCAACTATATATAGAATGTTGGTGTCTATATATAAAAGGCTTGGGAAGTGCACTCAACTATACATAGAATGTTGGTGTAATATACAGAACATCTTGGGAATTTCACTCCAACAAATATAATTTACATATAAAACAAAAGCGTAGGATATCTACCCATGCATATATAAAATGTAAGTGATTAAAATAACATCACACTACATCCTGTTCTGATTAATAACACACACACACACACACACACACACAGCGGAATATCAATAGGTAGTTGTCAACAATAGAGATTGTACTTTCGGTTTGGTAAATATTACGTGATTTTTCGAGTCTAACATGTCACTTTACAATCGTCTGCCTCAGGACTTTGTTTACAGCAGATTAAACGGAAAGGTGCTACTCATTTTAATCCAAATACTCGTGTTCTCCAGGATTATACAAGCATGCTAGGAAACCTTATGAGGTTTAACTAAGTTGATAAGCTAACACTATCGTCTTTTTGATTTTAAATCATGTGAAGTAATGACTTCTAACCTAGGATCATATTAGGTGTTCATGTAGAATTCCAATGCATATTCAGTGAAGAAAGTGTATACATTGGCAGCCTGAATTTAATTTATATACAATAATAATATTGTTTATTGATAGACACACCATGTGGTTATTAACTTTTATTAACGCTTTTTTTTTTTTACAGTGGTGGAGAATGGCGGACACTGACAGAGATTTGTCTGCACCTGGCCATGGGAGTCAATGCGTCTGTCAACAAAGCGATGTCTATAACCTCAGACGCTACGTAAACAGCGAAAACAAGTTGATCGGTACGTTTTGTACTAAATGTAAGGCAGAGAATTTAATAAAAGAATATGTAGTGAGCGACAAAGACGATGAGGATACAAAGGATTGTGGTGAAATGCAAGAGATGCTATCAAGGCCTCTCCCAAACCTTAGTGAAATCACGGCATTCCAAGTTCGAAGTTCCAAAACAAAAGTTGACCTGAAACATTTTGCTGACATACTGAAGCCAGGCGACCAAATCTCCTGGCACAGGCCGTACTTCTTCTGGCACCACGCCATTGTCTCAGAAGTTATTGCTGAGACGAGCGAGCTAATGTTGATTCACTGGAACAAGGAGGACAACCGCATCCAAATCATCCGTAGCCGTTACAACGTGGACCCGAACGAAAATGAACTGTTTAACAAGATGTACCGTATTGACTATTCGGACGAAATTACAAAGGACAATGACCAAGAACTTGTGTTGGCGAGAGCTCGGTCCAGAATCGGTGATACGGGGTATTTTCCCTTTACCGACGACTGTGAAACTTTTGCAACTTATTGCAAAACGGGCGTTGAAAAGTCACACCAGCTAGCTTGGCTTAAAGGAAAATGTAAAGAGATCGTCGGACAAAATATCATTCTGGCTGCCAAGTCAATTACCAAAGGCACATGCAGAATTGTACAAAATACAGTTTCTTTCGCGAAACAAACCATACCAAGTGTAATGCAAGATACTTCTATGGCGGCGGGGAAAATCGTTTCAGCAGAAGGAATCGAACACGCTATGAAAGGAAGTAACTTTGTTGGTGCTGGAATTGTGATAGTACTAGAAGCAGGATTTGTTACTTGGGATTTGAACCAGGCGTACAAAGAGAGAAAAAAGGGAAATACATCAAGGAACGATTTCATCGAAACTGCCATCCGACGGTTAGTGGAGGGTGTGTTGAGTGCTGGGTTGTCTATTATATGCTCCCTAGGTCCGGAACTCATCGGGATCGCTGTGGGATCACCACTGGGGCCCGCTGGTATCATCATTGGTGGTATCGTAGGAGGGATCATAGGCGGTGTAGTGGGGAAAATGGCTGGCACTGCCCTTGGAAGTGTGCTCGGCAAGGCGATTTCCTCCACATTCAAAGCCGATGATAGAGCGGTGACCAGTATCGCCGACCTAAAACATGGTGATCACATAGTAGATTATGACTGGGTTCTACATCCGCGCTGCCACGCCATCGTGGTGGATCACAACGGGGTTGACAAAATCAATGTGATCCGTAACAGTTATAAAAGTGGTGTTGTTGAGGAGTGTATACCGTTCTCGAAACCGCTGTTCAAGATTGAGTACCAACAGGGAACATGCAAAGATCCGGAGAAAGTCGTTGAAATGGCTAGATCAAAACTAGGGGAAAATCACTATAGTCTGTCTTTCTACAACTGTAAAACGTTTGCGAGGCAGTGCAAGTACCACTAGGCTAAGCAGAAATGAAGTTTTGTGTTTGAATTACCTTTTCAAAGCCGAAAATTGAAAAAAAAACAAAAAAAACAACAACATGACATTAGTGAAATTAAAATTAGTCCAGCTTACATGTAGAACCGGAAGAGTAGATATGGCAACTGATAGAGTACAATGACATACCCGAGGAGCAGTCATGTGGCACGGAGAATATCAGTTCCCAGTGAGATAGATTGATCGTGATTAAGGTAAAGATTGATTTAATCATAAATTAAAGGACCAACAATTTAAAAAAAACAACAGTATGACATATAATTTTTTACCTTGGTTTATTTGTAACAGGAATTTAGAGCTTAAAGCAAAAACTTTTAAAGAATTTATTCTATTGACATTATCACTTGTTGTCTCCCTTTAACTGTCTTCGCTGCTTGGTTTGAATCAAAGGTTAATTGAGTTAGACTTATCTGATACAGACCGACTTGGAAACTATATTTGTATGTAAAGTGATTTCATTGCAAGGTTCGTGAAGAAAAATGAAATAATATTATAATTATGCTTTAAATTTACATTATTGTCTCTATCATCTTAGAAATAATGAGCACTGTACATTTGTATATATATATATTCCAATTTATTACATTTCATGTTTTTCAAGTTTTATAGTAATTAAATGTATATCTTAATTATCTGTTTGTACATTTTTGAAATTAAAGTATTGTTTGAACTCAGACAAATGTCTCCATACTTTGTTAAACATACACAGCCTTTCAAAAATCAAAAATCACTGCAAGATCATATAAATAAAGTTTAACCTATATTGGACGAAATGATGATAACTGATAAAACACAATCGTATTCTCATATAGTAAAGTAACTACGTTGAACTAAATTTCTAAAACAAAATGTATATTTATAATCTTCTCTCTTTATTCTGATAACGAATAATTCAAAAATAAATTTTAATCGAGGTTAGTTAGGCTAAGGCACTAAAAAAGTAATCAAAACATTTCGAAATCTTTTCCAAGGAAACTGAGGACAGTAGCCTTTCGACCGATTTATTTTGGTGAAATATATCTCTTTTACGGTACAATCATCTATTTGTTTCAATAAATAGCAATTTTTCATTCTTTAATTAATGGTACCATAGCACATTTTTTTAACAAGCTTACTGAAAATTATGAAGAATTGTTACCTCACATAGTACATGATTTTATTTACATCTTGCACAGGAAATAAGGTAAAAAAGGCACTATTTATGTCATTTAAATAGCATTGCTTCACATACAAAGAGAAGCAACTCTTAAAAGTTTTGATATAAAAAAGTCGATCGCCGCTCCTGCATATATAATGTGATATACATATTGATTGACTTTGTATATGTCAACAGGATCGGACAACAGGCTAACGTCACTGTACCCAAATCGGGACACTTTTTAGATAAAAAACAATGTTTTTTGTTTATTCATCTTTTATAAATATATACTATCCACTTTTCATTTATATAACAATTTAAAATTTTGGGCGCGTGGTTCAAAAGAATCGCGAAATACCACCAGTGTTACGTAGGCCCATGAACCGGCGATACTGTAGACTAAAAAAGACACTTCCAGTATTTTGGCGACTTTTTGGGGGAATAAACGATCAGTATCGGCAGAAAATATGCAAAGATGAAATATGTTAGTGTCAACGAGGGTTTTGATTAAATTGTTTCTCCAAACTAGCATTAGTTTTGATAAAACAGATTTTTGAAAATGATATTTGAATTAATTAATTGAATAATTAATTAAATTAATAGCATCACACGGCACGTTACTCAGGAAAGATTTGTTTTGGTAATTATTCTTACCATTAAATTGTCCATGTAACGATAATCAGCAGTCAATAAAGCTTAATACAGTTTCATTGTCGTGAAAAGTATTATCAAATGAAAACTGTATACATAAAAGTACTTTTTTGCAATGAATGACAGTTTATTGGGCCGTTGTACCACACGTGTCCCGTTTTGGGGACTGTCCCGATTTGGCTACAGTGATGATAGGCCCATTTAAGTCCTTTCCAAACTGATTTACAAACATGACATATATAGCAATCCATATAAACAGTGTAGGTTTTATAACTTCAATTTAGTTTGTGAAATAACTATTTTTTAACTATTCAATATGGGTATTCACAATTAAATAAATCGTTTATATTTGTTCACAACCTACATCATACATAAAATTCACGGAATACAGGCCCAAAAGTCCTCGTGTAAACTATCTACTTATATGGATATACAATAGACATCCAATATGCAAATTATTCGCGATAGTATATGTATATGATTTCATCTACCGATGATGACGATAAAAGGTGAATTGACGCTTGCACAACTTGTTCATGACTTGCTCATGTTATAAGAGTAATTAATTATAAACTTTTGCTGAGGTCTATGCATTATTTTTTTTATCATGCCTGAACAAATAGGTGACTTTCCAGAAAGGTTTAAAAAGATATTGACCGAAAACTATGTCGTAAATTTTCATATCAGTTGAAAAGTTACAAAGGATATTTAGAAAAAATATCATCTTTATTCTGAATCAATGTAAACGTTTTACCATTAGGTTATTATTTGACAGAATATTATCTACAGCCATGATAAGGTAATTGTTTCCATTTTTCAGACTGATACAAGGGCCCAATTAATCAAAAGGTGATTAGCTTAATTAGTGATTAGCACAAATTTTAATTCTTGTGTATCTTTAGAACAAACCATTGAAATATTTAGTAGAGTGATTTTACATGCAAAATTGTGAGATTTTACCTGGTATATTGACGACATTATTTAAGGTTGATAAATATCGTTAAACAATGAGTAAGCTAATCAACCTATGAACAACTGGGCCAAGAAGTATAAAGTTCATACATAATCTTATTGGACTGCTCATTAGACATATCACTTTGATGTTGTTTCAGTCTAGCATGCAAGGTTTGTATTATTAATTGAGACTTTCTGGCATCAATAATTTGGCCGTTTCACAGGTACGTTTCCAGATAAGTTTTCGACTGGCTACTGGGTACAGATAAAATGTTGCGAGTTGAAAATATAGCTTCAACTAGACACACTATTGCAGCGAGGGTGAAATGTGCATATATTTGATAAGTTAGACACACCAAAGATTATTTTACAACTTTTATTATGTCAAACATATCTTTTTTCAAAGATTTCAAATTCTGAACAATAAAGACTTACATTTTAACTTCTGACGATTACATTTTTACCTTGCACTTGTGTAAGTTGACGGCATATTTGTCAATCTTCATGTACATCATTTTGGTTAATCATTACAACCCGATGAGTTGTAATGCAATCCAACTTTTTAAATGCATTTTGCGAAAATGAACCCGAAATTTAAAATATGCAACAAACTAATTTAATTATTACTGCAGTGGCACCAGTAGGGACCAAATGGTCACACTCCTATTACAACTGGCTGCTCCCATTGTAATATTTGGGATATTTGCATTTCTTTCTACTTCTTTTATTTCTGTTATTTCTGAACGCTTTGCTTGCCAATATTTCGCTTTTGGCTTAAGTATTGAGCGTTCGCTGAAGCGAGGAAGCCAATGGGTTTTGTCCCAGGCCGGAACATACCAAAGTCCTTAAAATGGTAGTTGTTATTCCCTGCTTAACGTTCAGCATTATGGGTAACGCCGACAACTGGTTCACCCGTGAGCGAGTTCTAGCTCTGGTACGGTTACGCTTCGCGCCACGCTTCGAAGGCCACCGTGACATGATAAGACCAAACTAGGACTTATACGAACGAAATCGTCTGCATATCTTCAAAATAAACATTACATTGGTTTGTATGTCGCTCTTTAACATTTAATCATAATTTATTAGCGAATAATTCTTATTTCAAAGTTGCTCTATGCGGCTATTTTTAACACAACGTACAATGTTTCACTCGCACTCGTAAACTGTAATAATAAAATCATATCGTTCTCATGCCATTACCAGATAGTCAACAGTTATATTTAATACCAGAAGATGTCCCGTTTAACTCTGGAACGCTATAATATGGCACCAACGGCTCGCAGTTTTGGAACTCTCCCGTGTTTTTGTAGACACCACGGCAACGGTAACTTGCTATACGCACAGTGCCAACAACATCACAAACACACGAAGTAATTATATGTTTTTGATTTTAAATTCAACTATTACAAAACCCAGTTCGTGTGCTGTTATCTAACTATCAGTATTTAGGCAGGCATATGACAAGTAGGTCATGTAAATTTATCGAACCCGTCCTGTGATTACCATATCAGCCTTATCGAGTACAGTTGAAAGTATTACGGCAAAATTGCTGTAGGCCGATATCGAACGTTATTGTCAAAATTGAATTTACTATCGTATTTCTGGGTACTGTTTACACTATGTCATCAAAGTAAACGTATGTAAATGAACACAAACACGTAGAAAAACACAACATCCAGCCGTCCTATCAGTTGGTGCAGTAATCATCATAGAGTCGGGCACTTTAAACAAATTGACGTCATCGGAATATATAAATGTCAACAATGTATGTATAGAACTTCTGTTTACCTCCGAAAATAGCAATGGAAACCCTCGGATTGTTGACGTACACATATGTACACAATGTATGTATCATTACGCGCACGAGAATGATTGTGGTTATCGAGCGATAATGATAATGACCTTAACAAAGGTTATTGAGTCAATTACACTTGAAACTTTAAATATAGTACAATGTACAAAAACAACACCAACTGGTCAGCCTGAACACTGTTTTTACTACAATTTTTTTGTCGCATCTGTAGATAATCTGTAGGTCTAATCCATGGAAGCATGGGGCTTCCCAAAGGTGTTAATACATGTCCGACTATAAGGTCAATGATTTTATTAACCGGTTCGTGGTCTTCCGACCATGTAACCGGCTTACCGTTGACAACCCTAAAACAAACCATCATGAAGCGCATATGTTATGGTACAAGTAGGGAAATAAATAAACGGCTATTTTTATCCAGCCGCTGTTTTTCAAATCCTTGAAAAAAGCTGGATATGTCTTATTTAAAAATAA